ACCATTTCAATTTTAAACAATTTAGATTTTATCCTGAGGCTACAGGGAAGTCATTAAAGAATTTTAAGTCATAAAATTAACGCTATTTTGTCAGTTTTGTTTTTAATTGTTTTAAATTTATTTATATTGTTGACAGTATTATAGATGACCCCATGTCCCCCCTCCACTCAGCCCCCCACCTCACCCTAGGCTTTCACCTATTGACTGTGTCCATGGACTATGCATACATGCATACAAGTTCCTTGGTTGATCTCACTCTGACAATAAAATGTGGTGAATGGATCCCAAATTAGAAATGGTCAGAAAAGTGGACACAGATATCAGTCAGGACATCATTGTAATAGTCCAGCTAAGAGATGGAGGCCCAGAACTGAAATCACATCTGTGGCTTAGAGGAAATGGTATTCAGGAGGCAGAAGCAGCAAGACTGGAACAATGGCATAAAATGCCATGATTTATAGATACCAGTTAGTCTCCTAACACCCAATCACTTTAACAGTCCTCTAAAAGCTGTTCAAAAAATGTTAAAGAAACGTCCTGATTACATATATATATATATATATATATATATATATATATATATATATATATATATTTAAGTTTATCACAGGAACAGTAGCAGATACCTATTTAGATATTTAGTTGAGGGGAAATTTTCAACAATGACTAATAGTAATGATAGCATGTTCTTCTTAAGTTATTTCAATGAATCTAATTCTATAAAGCCTTTTTCCTATATTTCTAGTGTTGAGATATAGAAGGAGAATATACACACAACAAATATTTATTGAGTGCCTAGGTAACATATTGTTCTTTAAAAACAAAACAAAAACACACAGAAGCAGCAGGAAACTGACAGATTTAAAACAGAAAAAAATAATTTCTATAATTTATTTGGAGCCATGAAAATTATTAAAACACAATACTTGCCTTGAACACTATCTCAACAGCTAAAATTAATTTTTATGCCTAAGAAAGACACTGCATGGTGGCACAACACAGAAAGTTCACTGAGTTCCAATATTCTATTCTAAATATCTCAAAAGAAGAAAGATTGTTCAATCAATTATTTGAACTAGTAGAATGACTAAAGCATAAGAAGAATAGCAAAAAAGATGTCTAGACATTACATAAATATAGAATTTTATTTCCTTCCACAAAATATTCAATCTAAATTTAGGGGTTCTTAATTAATCTTGCTTATATAATAAGTAGTGTTTTCAACTCAAATGATCTCAGAGAAGCTAACTGAAAAAAGAGACTTAACTCAGAATTGAGAAATATTTCCAATTACATATATCTGCACATCAATATATAGGACATTCATCTTGAATATTTTTCATATCCTCATTAGTTGAATAATATTAATCATGTGAATAATTAATAGAGCAGCATCTCATGGAGAGTACCCAATCTTACTTTCATTAATTAGAATGTGATTATTTTGAAAAAGGTCTTTAATATATAATGTCAATCCCCTACTTAATTTCATTACCCCCATCCTCTCAAAGATATCTCTTTGAGGAAGATTTTTTGGTATGTGCATTTTGTTTATGCTACACATGCCAAATAGATTGTCCAAAATGAAACTCTGAGCTCATTTGGAAGTAATTTTTGGTAGCACATGCATCAGAATACTTATTATTTTCTTCTCAGCACTACTGGTATTTTATTGCTTCCATCTACAGTCCAATATGCTTTTAGCACTAAGACCCCTGAGGCCAAACACACAAAGCACTCAGAAAATGGGAACTTCTGGCGATTACAATTTTTGTCTCTCTTTCAGGGGTTTTCCCTCCACTGGGAGTGTGAAATCACTTTAAGCTCACTATGAAATAGGAACATGGTGGGCACACATGATTGACTGAAGTTGGTGATGTTGATTTAGGAGTGTTCGGCTTATAGGTCAGGTGTAAAACCCTTAAATCTGCTTGTCAAAGTCTGCTTGTCAAATTGCTATGGATTTTTCCAGACTCTGCCCAAATGTCACTTTCTCTATGAAGGCTTCCCTGGCCAACTCAGGCAGAGTGAGGCAGTTTCTCCTTAGTATTATTATAGTGCCCTGACATTTTCCTCTGGCAGCACCTATTAAATTATATTGCATTTACTTGTTTGTCTCCCTCTATATATAGAGCGAGACTATTCTCCTATTTTTATCTCTAAACTAAAGCACTACCAAAATCAAGTTGGTTCTCAATATATAAGAATAGAATGGATGGATAAAGAATGGCTAATAATATTCTTCATCTGCATAGTATGGGTTACATGGTGTTTTCATACAGTGGTGAGGAAGACATGGCAGGAATTATCATCCATATTTTGCAGATGTGTAAACCAATACCCAGAGAGGTTATATGACCAACCCAAGTTCAAAACAGCTGATTAATGGTATGCCTAGTTCTTATGTAAGCCAGTCAATAAAGATTTCTAGACATAAGTGGTAGCAGTAGAATTCTGTCAGAGAGATGACAATGGCTGGACAGAACACAGGGTAGCAGCTGGTTACATGTTTTGAAAGCTCCAATCTCAGTCTTAGCAGGTTCTTAAGAAGTTAAATGCACACAAAACCAGACTTCAGAATGTCAACTTATTTACAATGAGAATGATCTATGACAAGTTATTTCCTTGTACTCAAGCTGCACGCAAAATGAAGCCAGTACACATACATACTTGACTCTCTCTGAAATTTGACCATGACTCATAGACTAATGAAGAAGATAATGTTCTTAGAAATCAGTAGTATAACCCCTTCTTATACCAAATGAATAAACAAGTAAATAAACCAATAGCTAGGTAAGATAAATGACTTACCTGCAGTCACATAGCTTGTTACTTTCAGCATAAAGACACAAAATCATGTCTTCTTAACAATGATATCCTTACATTTTTAAACAAGTTATGATTGAGAAGTACTACAACTATAATTCTTAGCAAGTATCCTAAGCATTTTTCTAACATGACTAAACAAGCTATCATACAGAAATTTTCCTTTATCAAATGTTGCAACATGAGATTTATATCCCAAATTCTAGTCTGTGTCTGTATATTGGAGAGGTGTGTGTGTGTGGGTGGGTGGGTGGGGGCACACAATCAATGTTTTAAGATCCATGTTAAAATAAGGCACATGACATTGATGCTATAAAAACAATCCATTGGAGTTTTCAATGTGTCAACCTTTCTAGTCCATATTCATTTCAACATGCTTTGTTTTTCTTTTTGAAAATAATCTAAGTAGATATAAGCTTGGTGTTCATATGTCCACATCAAATTTATGACTTTTAAGTTTTGAAAATAGTTTAGCTACTCATTACCAGCAGAACACATTTTACTACTTATTGGCCAACTAAAAAGTATATTTATTTATAAATAAATAAATAAATAAATAAATAAATAAATAAATAAATAAATAGGTGTGCCTATTAAGGGATAAAGACCAAAGGTCAAAATAAGCTAATATTCTTAGCAAAAAAATAAGACAAATTATCATATTTATAAAAAGCATGTGGGAGTCAACCAATAGATGTGTCTCTCTCACATCAATGTTTCTCTCTCCATCCATTCTCCCTTCCACTCTTTCTAGAAATCAATGGACAAATAGCCAGGGGTAAGGATTTAAAAAAAGAGTTTTTGGTTTATTTTCCATTACCAAAGGTGGGATGTGCTCTGGGTCCTATGTCTTAAGTCAGTAGGTGAAAGCAAATGCTTTCCAGAAACATATATCTCACAGGTAGTGAAAGACACACCAAATTCAAATGATTTCACCATCAATTAAGAGAGCTAGCCTTATTTAGCAAATAACTGTTTTGGAGATAGAAACATATATTGAACTGCAACAATTAGTTTACTAATTGGTCTTCCTGCTGGGATAATTGCTAGAATTGCTTCTTTAAAATAGATGGACCTTTGCTGTTTGATATAAACTATTGTGCATATCTTTCTTTACTACCATAATCAGAGTCTGTATTCTTCTACTCCTTGGATGGATGCAGAGAAATAGTTCCACAGCATTTATACAGCAAAGCTTTTGTTTCCCTCTAACATTATAACTGCACCCTGATTGCCTCCCCTCCAATTAATGCTAGTATATACTTTTATCTCCAAGAATTACAGTTGAAAACAAGAGCCCTTATTCTGGAAGAAACTTTAGGTATTCATTTACACAGTCCAATTTGGAATCAGTCTCTTCTCTAGACTACGAAAGAAACTTTTTCATCAATTGCATCATTTTAATGTATTAACTGAAAGATTATTTTAAATATGAGTTTGAAGCTAGATCAAATGATAATATTATGCTGTATAAAATTCAGTCATTTCAGTACCTATTAATTTATTTTCTACTAGAGGCCCAGTGCATGAAAATTTGTGTACTTGGGATGGGGGGCCTCAGCCCGGCCTGTGCTCCCTTGCAGCTGGGACCCCTCTGGGAATGTCTGTCTGCTGGAGAGTGGGCCTAAGCTGGCAGGCAGGCATCCCTCTCGCAGTCCGGGAGCCCTTGCTCATCACTACCTGCCTGCTCACTGCTCTTTACAGTTTGGCTCACTGCTGCCTGGGAGGCAGGGAGGCTCCTGCCACTGTTGCTGTGCTTGCCTGGCTTCTGGCTGAACAGTGCTCCCACTGTGGGAATGCACTAACGACCAGGGGGCAGCTCCTGCATTGAGCATCTGCCCCCTTGTGGTTAGTGCACATCATAGCGACCAGTCGTTCCACCATTTGGTCGATTTGCATATCACTCTTTTATTATATAGGATAAAATTTCAGTAGAAAAATTCCTATGTATGCCTAAAGTTTAAGATAATTCATGTAGTTCTCCATTTCTCCATTATACATTAAGCCAGCCAACTATTTTCATCTATGCCACAGGTATAAAATACCTGTCAATTTCTGATAAAGGGCTATTACATAAAATCAATATGATCAATAGTTATATGAAATGCCCAAAAGAGAAATTACTGAAAAACAAAAGCATCAGGCCTTGCAATGCATTAAGATGTATTACTCACCAGAAACAAAGTTCGGAAGTTGTTGAGATCACCAAAAAACTCTTCTATGCTCACTGTCTTAGAGTCAAAAATAAAGTATTCTCCAAGATTTTCATAGAGCTTGACCATATTGCTATGCATAGTGGACAGTTTGTCATACTGTTCTCTGGCGATCTTTGTAAAGCTGTAGGTTTCTGTTAAGGAATATGATCCAATAGTACCTCAAAGGCAATCATTAGATATTAAGATTGAATTATACCACCATTTATAGAAATACTTATATATTAGGTTTCTGGGGTTGCCATGATAATATACCACAGATTGGATAGGGTAAACTACAGAATCCTATTTTCAAACATTTCTGGAGGCTAGAAGTACAATATCAAGGTGTTGGCGAGTTTGATTTCTTCTGTGGTCTCACTTCTTGGCTTGTTGTAGATGTTGATCCTCTTGCTGTGTCCTCACATAGTAGTTCTTCTGTGTTTTCTGTTTCCTAATCTCCTCTTCTTATGAGGACAGCAGTCACAGAGGATTAGGGTACACCCTTAGAATGTCATTTGAACAAAATCACCTATTTAAAGGTTCTATCTTCAGATGGTCACATTCTGAGGTTCTGGGGGTTAGGGCTTCAGCATATGATTTCTTGGCAGACAGAGTCCAGTCCATAACAAGTTGCTGTTTTCATTATATTGGTTAATGAGTTTCGAAACTATAAATTATGTTTAATGTATAACCGTGCAGAACATGTTTGCTAAATCAAAATATGTAAGTATAAATATCCATAAACTACCTCGTATTTTTTTTATGAACAGCATACAGTAGAAATAAACACCAACAAGAAACTTAGAAAGTATAGATTCACCATTCTTAATGCACATTTTCCATATAGAGGTTATAGCAAATTCTATATAAGATTATGTATATGTAACTGTGTGTGTGTGTGTGTGTGTGTGTGTGTGTGTGTGTGTGTGTGTGTAACCCTCATGAGGTGTGGAGGGAGAGTGAGAGGGAGCAAGGGAGAGAAAGTGAGAGAGATTCTGCTATAGTTCTATAACCTTAACCACTCCAAGGACTTATTAAAAGCCAGATTGCTGTTTGCTGAGCCTGAGCCCAGGGGCCTGAGCATTATAATCTCTAACAAGTTCCCAGGTGACGCTGAGACTGCCAGTCCTGGAATACAGTCTGAGCAGTATACCCCACAAAAGCTACTTATTCAGAAATGAATTAGATCATTGTTTTACAAATGTTATCAAAAGGTAATAACAACCACCAGTATCAAAGCATTAAATAAACCATATATTTAAAGGTGTCCAACTAAAGATATCTCATTATATCTAAATTTATACTTATAAAAGTAAATTATAATACTATTTTCCTGATTATAGAAGGTATATTTATAGAAAACTTTCTCTTTAGGACTTAGAAATATAACAGCTTTAATAAGTAAGCAAATTTTCAACAAACAGAAGTACTGTGAACATGTTGGAGCATTTCCTTTAAATGTTAACTGATATGAATGCTTCAGAGAAAGGTAAGCACTCTAGCCCTAAAGAATATAGGAAACCAAGTCCACATTCTAAAATTCGAGTTAATTCTATTAAAAATCAATAGTGAAACAGAAGTAAGATGTCTCTAAACAGAAAAGTAACAGACTTGGAATTGTAAAAGAAGAACAGCACAGTTTCGGGGCATGTGGATACAGATCCACTGCAGTATATTAATATTTTGTACCTGTATTATGTTATCAGATTCTGATAATTGTGTCTTGAAATACTTGGTTTTATACAATTTTCTGAAAATTTCAGTGTGTTTTATTATAACCTGGGGCCAAATTTGTTTTCCATAGGAACAGAGCTCTAGTTGTACAGTGGAAGTTAATGGGGAAATCACACCATTTCTGGTAAATTACTTTGCAACTGACACTTAGGAACAGAACATGATTTAAAATGTGAAATGACCCCTACCCATGTTCTTTGTTATGCTACTTAAGTATTAGCATTCACATTAGCAACCCAACAACCTCATCTGTGCTAAGTGACATTAAATCTTTCAACCCTCAAGTTCAATTAGATCTGAAAGAATTAACACATTTCTGACTTATTCTACTTCTTTAAAAAAAAATTATCAACAAAGGGTTAGAGGTACTGCTCTATACACATTCTGGTTTCCCCTCTGAGAATATCACCATATATTTCTATTCTTATTTTTAAAAAAGCGTTAAACAACCTATTTAAGAGTTGCAGAAATATGACAATACTCTTCATTTCTTAGAACAGAATGAAAGTTAGATACTTGTCTCTAGTCTCTTTTTCCTAAATAAATTCGACCCACACCAGAGACTTTCTACACAGAAAGACTTTGCAAAGGTCACTTACTTGTACTCTATTTGCAATGCAAAGTACAAAACTATATATTTCAGAAGGCTCAACATCTGTACAAGGAACAAGTGGAAGATAAAAGAGGGAAAATACTGCATGTTTCTCATTTATCATAACACAATTTTTCACCAGCTAAAATATGTCTATGCAGTGATACACAATTTCATAAATTTGTTCTCCTAGGACAAAAAATGATTTCAGAAATTCTGTCTGTGAACCAAAGTGAGACAATTTGAAAAATTCGAGGAATGCTTTATCTTATAAATAACAAATGGAAAACAGTTCAATTTCCAAGTCCTTCACTTATCCTCAAAGTGATTACTTTGTAAAAGGGAGAGCCAGCATGAGTCAGCATGGAAATCTTTCACAATTACAACCATGTCACCACATCCTTCCTCGGACAGGAGGAGAAAAAGAACTAGATACCAGTCCTTTCATCCCTTATATCAGTAAGAAAAGTTTTATTTTATTTTATTTTATTTTATATTTTTTGAGCAGCCACAAAATACAAAATCTGTTCAGTTCTATGCTAAGCATCATGATGGGTACAATGATCATTAAAGCCTAATCCAGACTCTGAAGTAGTTTATAATCTAATATTGCAAATAATTCTACCATCAACAATTTGCTTTTGTATAGGACTTTATTATTTAAGATATATTTTCCTTCCATTATGTCCCATATTCTTATAACTTTAATAAAGTATCTTTAATTGATGTTTTTACAGAGAGGAAGGGAGAGGGATAGAGTCAGAAACATCAATGAGAGAGAAATATTGATCAGTTGCCTACTGCACACCCTTTACTGGAAATGTGCCCACAACCAACATACATTCCCTTGACCAGAATTGAACTTGAGACTCTTCAGTCCTCAGGCCAACCCTTTATCCACTGCGCCAAACTGGTTAGGGTCATGTCCCATATTCTTGATAACAACTGTGGTAGACAGTCAGACAGATATAAGCAGAGCAAGGACGATAGGCCAAGTACAGGAGGTCAACAGGGCAGAAAGCCCCAGGTGCCTAGCAATGGGTAAAATTGGAAAAACAAGGATCTCCCTCCCAGGGTAACCTTTTCTCCCTTAGCATATCGCTGGTCATAGGGTTTGGACCCGTCCCTGACCTTTCCTCCCCTGGCATATTGCTAGTCATGAGAGTTAGATTCTGTTTGGAAGGGAAAAATGAGGGGGCCAGAGAATAGCCCTTAAGCATTAAGTCCCCAGGACAATGAGATTATGACCCGCATCTAATAGATCTAGGCCTCAGTTGTATTTCAGTTCTAGGCCTGGAAAAGCAGCAAAATCAAACAAGTAACTATGGTTGTCTCAGGAACAACTGCATTAAATACTGACCTCTTGCTCTGGCCCCAAACAATCAGTAGAGACGATGACCCTGAAAGGACACCAGGAAAGGTGGTAAATATTCTATTGGAACCCTCCCCTGCGACTTCAAGATAAATACCCTCAAGATGGAGGAACCTCTTTGGTTCTCTCTATGGAGCACGCCAGGGCCTTTCCCCAGATTAAGACCTTTCCCTACTACCTCCCCACAAGGCTATTTCCTTACCTTTTCCCCTAAGTTCCAAGGGACCTTCTTTTGCCCTTATAACTTGTTTCCTAAGCCCATTTATTCTATGATTAACTTCTTCTACTTATGTGACGTTCTAAATAAACTTTCTCTTATAGTTTAAGTCTTGATTCTGAATTCTTTCTGAGCCAGAATTCAAGTACTAAGGTTCCTGAACCCAGGTCTGGTCTAACAATTGATGTCATTTCACTGCCAGCACAACCTTATCAAAGAGGCAGAAAAATACCACTATTCACATTTTAGCATTGTGGAAACCAGGTAAAAAGCACTCACCCATCTAGAGTTAGAATGTAGACTATACCATCCCAAAATATGCCGCTTTTGCATAGAGCATTTTGAGCTGATAGAGAAATAGTAGAGATAGGAAAATATCTGAAAAGAATAATTGACCTTCACACCATCACAAAGATGGTGGTGCCCACAGCCACAAAATGGTGGTGCCCACTTCCCTCAGCAGGCTTGAGGCAAGGTCAGACTCCTGCCCTCAGCTGTCTAGGGCCTGCCTCCAGAGTCCCCAATCACCTTAGTCCCCCAGCCACCCAGGGCCGACCGAGGTTCAGGTAACTAGGACAGGCTGAAGGCTTGCACTGTGGGCAATGGCAGCAGCAGAGTTGTGATGGGGCATCACCTTCCCCTGATTGTCAGGTCACCTCCCACCCCTGAAGGCTCCCAGACTGTGAGAAGGGGCAGGATGGGCTAAGGGACCCCCCCTCCAGTGCATGAATTTTCATGCACCAGGCCTCTAATATATGTATAAAGGAAATCTCCATTTATAAGAGTGTCTCCCTCTCTGTAGGAGGAAGAGAAAGGATGAATCTATGGCTAAAGAAAATGTGATACTCATATGAGATGTGGTCTTATATATAGTATACATATTGTGTGTGTGTGTGTGTGTGTGTGTGTGTGTGTGTGTGTGTGTATGCAGAGGAATACTACTCAGTCATCAAGAAGAATGAAATTAGTCAGACAGAGAAAGACTATTAATGTGTGATTTCACTTACACGTGAAATCTAAAAATAAAATAAATGAACAAACAAAACTCACAGATACAGAGAACAGATTGGTAGTTACTAAGGGGATGGGGGTTGGGATTGGATGAAATGGGTAAAGGGGATCAAGAGGTACAAACTTCCATATGTAATAAAAATAGGTCATGGGATGTAAAGTATAACAAGGTG